TGATTGCTAGACCCTACAGTAGCTTTGAAATCAGCTCCTTTTCTGTACCTAGGCCAAATCGTAACCCTAGGCAGTCCTCCTCAGAAGGAGGGAGGCAATATGAAAACATGTGATTATCTTGCATAGATAACCCTTACCCAAGGATGAGTGTGAGGTGAGAGTAAGGGTCCTATGTTTGTGTGTGTGAGTACTCATGTGTGCATGTGTGTGTATACTTGTGTGTGTGTGTGTGTGTGTGTACTTGAGTGTGTGAATATGAGACAAAAGGATGTCTAGGTCAGTGTTTACAATTGTTAATCCTGGATGATGGAATGAGCAGTGATTTTGCTTTTCTTCTAAGGAGCCCAGGTGGTGCAGTGATTAAGTGCTCAGCTGCTAACCAAAAGGTCAATGGTTCGAACCCACCAGCTGCTTCTCAGGACAAAGATGTAGCAGTTTGCTTCCATAAAGATTTACAGCTTTAGAAGCTCTATGGGGCAGTTCTACACTGTCCTACAGGGTCACTATGATTTTCAATATTTTTAATTATATCTACAGTGAAACTATATTTGTTTTATAAATGGGAAAAAGGACAATAAATGCTACAAGAAAAATTTAAAGTTATTACAAACAAAAAATTATGGGTAAGTACGATCAACTAGTAGGTGAGAAAGTCCAGCAGAGGGAAGAGCAGACTCATGTTTCTTGCCTCATACTTACCCTGTCTAGAGTCCTACACCGAAAGCAGAATCATAAAGGAAAAGATTGATGGGTTTGACTACATAGAAAATTAAAACCATACAGATAAAAACAAAACCAGAAGCAGCCACAAACAATGTTACAAGCCAAATGATAAGCTGGAAAAATTATTTCTAGCATATAAAACAAAGGGCTAATATACCTGCTAATTATAGAGCCGTTACAGATCTATTAGAAAAAAGACGACAATCTCAAAAAAAAGTGCACAATCACTTAAAAAGACACTTCATTAGAGAAGCAATATAAATGGCTAAAAATATATAAAAATGCTCAAGATAATGAATAATGCAAATTATAACAATGCAATACCATTTTTGGTCTATTGTATTGGCACAAATTATACAGATACAAATACTCACTGTATCAAGTGCTGGCAAGTGGTAGACAAATGGAAAATTCAAATGTGGGCAGTAGAAATATAAATTAGTTTAACTTTGCTGAAATTTTCTGACAAAAAATATCAAAGGCCATGGGAGCCCCATAGACACATCCAAACTCCCTGAGGGATTGCATTGCTTGGTGGAGGGCTCTGGGGACCATGGTCTCGGGGAACATCTAGCTCAATTGGCATGACCCAGCTTATAAAGGCAGTGCTCTACATTCTACCTTGGTGAGTAGTGTCTGGGGTCTTAAAAGCCTGTGAGC